CATTATTTTTGTTATCGTAATTTTATTGTATATTATATTACATATAGTATAGCAACTATACTGTATTCAGAAGGGCTTGTATAACTGAAATCCTTCACTTATGACTGGAAGTAAAGAAAATTTTAAAAAAACACATATCAATAAATAGCAAACATTTGTAATACTGCAGTTATTCTAGAATTATTATTTAAGATGTCTCTGTTTAACAGGTGAAGGAATTGACTGTTTCTGGAAAGTGATAGAGAACAGTAGAAACTGTACCACAGAAATACCTCCAGAAAGATTTATTATTAGAGAACGGTATGATCCAAATGATAAGAAACAAAGTAAAATACGTACAACTCATGCTGCTCTGCTCGATGAGTAAGTTTCATACTTTAGTAATTAATCATTAAAACTTTTAAAATTCACATCCTGGTAGTGCAGCACATTCTCCTGCTGAACTGATGGGCTAACTGTTCTGTATAGATGTTGTATGCTCCTTTTAAAAAACATCATTTACATGTAATGAGGAGGAAGAGGATTAATATGACATTTCACATTTTCTCTGCAGTCTATATTTGAACCCATAAGCAAGTTCAAACATGTTTATGAGTAATCTGGCTTTTTTTCACAAGATTGCTCATAAATATATTCAAACTTACCCATAAGCCCAAGCATAGATTGCAGAAAAAAATAAGACATGGCATAGAAACCCTCCCCCTAATAAGTATTGTGGTTGCTGAGCAATCACAATGATGTGTGTATAAATAATGGAGAAATATGTAGGTACCGCTGACATTGCTCTGTTGATGGATATTATATGGGATATTATATGGACATTATATGGGAGGGGATATAGTATTCTCAATATATAGTAATACAGTATATTAATGTTCCTCTCAGTGATTGCCATTTGCAGGAGGAGTGCAGAAAATGTTAAAATTATGACATATCACATTTCCCCTAGTCATGTCATAAAACAAGCCATAATAAATTAATTGTAAAGATGACGGTGAAAAAAAAATTGGCTTGGACAGCACAAACACAAAATTAGATAATTGGCATGCACAATCATGGCTGATAGCAGCTCAAACATATCTAGGTCACACCGTTACTTATGCAGTGAATTGCATAACCAGGAACACAAACAGCTCAAAAAATTTTAAAAATTCCTTGATAAATTCCCCTCATGCATTTTGTATTTCATAATAGAAATCTGGTCAACAAATGGTAAGAACCACAAAGAGGAAAACTGTGTACAACACAAATAGGAGAGGGATCGGTGCTTGGAAATAATGGGCAGAATCCTAGTAGTGTTCATGCAAGGACTGAGTAAGTCACTGGACTAATTAACTAGGTTTTCTGGGTCTGTGTTGGTTGCTTACTTGGTCATGTACCCAGTTTATGCACCTGGCACCCCACCCCCCACCCTCCAATATCTGACCATTTAGCCATAGTTGACTGGGGCAACTGATGAACACTAACAGGATATTGAACAAGGTGTTAAAATTAATGCATTAATATTAAATCTATTACTAGTTTTAAATGCTAATAGCAAGAAATTAATCCACCCATGCCTAATGTTTCACACCAAATAATTAATTTTCAGACCTTACATTCCAAGATTTGAGACATATCTTGAATATAAGCATTTTTCAAGTGTACACAGCTGTAACAATGTAATAAATTACATGTCATTGAAAATACACTTTTATAGCAATAATGTACTAATATCCATCCCACTTACATTCATTGCATACCTGTCCCCCCTTTTTGGTTCTTTTAAAAATTAATTGGTTTTTATTTTTTAAAATTTTCGCATTCCCCTGGCAGTATAGTGATGTAGCTATCCCTGCATGGCCCTGGATCATGCCATTTGACCATGAGCCGAAGGATATAATCTGGGTAATCTGCAAGGCAGCAACACTCTATTTTAACACCTTTCTATTCCCATATGGGAATTTACAAGACACACCTCTATACTGCTTTTCCTGCTGCAATAGTTCTAAGCTATAGTGCTGCACTGCTGTTTACAACATGTATATGTTATGAAAATGTGACTACAATGATGGCTGTAATCCACATTTGTCACTAGATACACCAGCCTAAAAGATTCATTTTAAATACAAATATATAGGATTAAGTTGTATATGAACCATATTCTATGCTCTAGAACTATGACACAGCCTAAAAGATTCATTTTAAATACAAATACGTATATAGGATTAAGTTGTATATGGACCATGTTCTATGCTATAGAACTATGACATAGCATAGAACATGCTATGCTATGTCATACTATGTCATCCTTATTGTTTAGATTCAATGCATTTGACAACAAGCTCTTTGGTATTAACAATGAGGAAGCTGAGCACATGGATCCTCAGCAAAAGCTACTCCTGGAATGTACATACAGAGCCCTGGAAGATGCAGGACTTACAACTGAAAATATCAGTGGCACTCGAACTGGAGTTTTTGTGGGTAAGAAAATATATTGGTGACTAAACCTTACCTAGTTTGTTTGTTTGTTCTTTCAACTTGTATACGCACAATCTCCCAGTGTGTGGAGGGAGGATGGCAATTTACTGCCCCTTTTATTCTACCTCTTGAAAAAGGTGCCTGTGGTATTTAATGGGAGATCACTTGTAGCTCCTGGTCTTTCTTGACTACGGCAAGCACAAGATAAAAGTTAAATAAATAATCGTGTAATCGTTTTTTCTCCCTAAGTAGTCTTAGGCATAAATTTGAATATTGGTCTGATGATCGTAAGAACCTTAACAACAATGGTTCTGTATTTACAGGTCTGATGAATCAAGACTATGAGGCCATAACCAGTGGGGCAGCTGCCAAAACAAACTATCATGATACCACAGGGAGAGCAATGAGCACAGCAGCTAATCAAATTTCATTTACTTTTAATTTGACTGGACCATCCCTTGTCATTGATACAGCTTCCTCATCATTCCTTTCTGCTCTACACTTTGGCTACAAAGCCATCAAACAAGGTATTGGAATTTAGACATACACACGTGACTGTTAATCACCACAGTTTTTATGCATACTGTGCGAGTAATTCTCAGCTTTTCATTGGTTCAGGCTCTGTTTTTTTATGTATATTTGATGCAGGGGACTGTGAAGCTGCTGTTTGTGGAGGAGTGAACTGCATCATGGATCCTTGGAAGTTTGTATCTCTCAGTAAAGCAAAAATGCTCTCTCCTGATGGAATCACTAAACCCTCCTCTAGTAAGGGAGCTGGCTATGGAAGAGGAGAAGGCTGTGGTGTCCTTTTGTTAAAGCCACTGACAAAGGTAGGATGTTTAGTTTGTGCTCCCCATTTGCCTAAGTAATGAGACATTCTAGGGATATTTGTATGGATTTAGTTTCTTTATATCAAATTGTAAACATTCTACTTATTTAAAAGGAGGCAAACATAAAATATATAATATAAAGGGACTCCTTCAAAGCAGCACATTTACAGCTTCTCAGATTCTCAAAGATTATCCTTGGATTCCAAACCTCTCCATCATCAAAGTACAATGATCAGAAAAAGTATTCTTGAAGGTTTTCATGGCTGGGATCCAATGGTTGTTGTAGGGTTTTCCGGGCTGTTTGACCATGTTCTGGAGGTTTTTATTCCTAATGTAGCACTGAAAAATACATCCTGCAAAAAAGGTCAATAAACTCTACCCAGCCACAAGGACTGGTGATCACCACACACAAAAGACTAGCTAATGACACCCATAAATCACAGTGACAGATAATATCCCCCATCACATCAATACACTCATAACAAAAAACATCCCAATCACCATAATCACCCAATCTCCTGAAAAGGATAAAAAGCTGATCCCACAGCTACAAATACTCAACTATCCCACACACTATACCAGGACACAGACAGTTCTAACTCCTGTCCTCTGAAGATGTCAGCCACAGAGACTGGTGAAACATTAGGAAGAAAAACCTCCTGAACATGGCCAAACAACCCAAAAAAACCCTACAATAACCATCCGAAAAAGTGTTCGATCAGAACATCTGATGCTTAAACACCTTCTTGAGAGCCCTATAGAATGTTAGGAAAAATCAGAAGCCTGTGATTGTCAAAGCTGGCTTTCATCCCTGAAAGGATAGAAAGAAGATTTACTATTAAGTAAAGAGTCAACTCTGAAACAGCTGATGGCTGCTGTACATTTAATTAATTTATTTGTTTTTATTTATTTATTTGATTTGTATCCCGCCCATCTGGTCTATGCGACCACTCTATTTAAAAGAAATAAATACCTAAATGTTGACATCGGAAGACTTGATTATGCTGTATAACATTGTATCCCTTGCAATCTTTCCTTCCAAAACAGGCAATGGAAGAATTCAGCAAAATATGGGGTGTCATTAGCGTCAGTGCCATCAACCAGAATGGAAGTATGGTTGCTCCAGTCACCACAGAATCTAAAGCACAACAGGAAAAATTGTTGCTCAGCATTTACCCAGCGTATGTTGATCCGTCAGCAGTTCAGTACATTGAAACATGTAGCATAGGAAATCCTGCTGAAGATGCCAGCGAGGCAGAATGCTTAGGCAATATCATTGCTAAAAAGAGACCTTCTGAGCTGCCTCCTCTTAAGATGGGTTCACTTACTGGGAACATTGGATACACGGACTCAGCTGCTGGGGCAGCAGCATTAATCAAAGTACTTCTCATGATGCGTCATGGAAAGATTGTTCCATCCTTGTACTTGTCAGAGAGCACCAGCAGCATCAACACAAAGAAACTAAACCTCTCCATTCCCACAACAGTGGAGGAATGGGATGAATCGAGTGAATTTGGCAGAGTAGCTGGGATCAACTGTTTTGGACTTGGAGGTAACAACGCTCACATGATTGTCAGACAGGTGAAACAAGCCCAGCTTTTGGCTTCGGTCAAAAGGCCTTTTGAATTATTTGTCATTTCTGCAGCTTCGGGTAATTCCCTCAAAATGACCATGGATGACACAGCTAGGCACATCAACGTAAGTGACACAACAACACTGCCGAATCTGGCATATACCTCTGCATGTAGAAGGAGCCATGGAAACCATAAATATAGAAAAGCATTTGTGACTTCTTCTCTCCAGCACCTACAGCAACAACTTATTTCTGCAGCAGAAACGGAAGCAACTCCATCAAATAAGCCTCCTCCTCAATTAATTTTTGTGTTCTCTAATACCGCACTGAACTTCAAAGGGATATGCAAAATCCTGCTGAGATCTGAGCATGTCTTTAGAAACAAATGCATTGAAATCAAGCAATTGTTTCAACAGCTCTCACCTACTAGAATTCTGGAGTTAACAGAAAGTGAACACAAGGATTTGTCCAAGCCTGACCTTGCCCAGCCTTTGTTCTTCACAATGCAGGTGGCCTTGGCGACACTTCTGAAACACTGGGGGATTAAGCCGGTGGCTGCTGTTGGATATTCAGACGGCGAGGTGGCCGCTGCCCATTGTGCTGGCTTGATTTCCCTAGAAGATGCTGTCAGGATTGTCTATCACAGGAGTAGGCTACAGGCTAAGGTCACTGGAGGCAGAATGCTGGTAGTTAGTAACATCCCCATTCAAGAAGTATCAGCAGCCCTTGGAGCATACTCGGAGAAAGTTTGTGTTGCAGCTCTTAACAGTCCTATGTCTTGTACATTGTCAGGAGATACAGACTCCATTAATGCCCTTCAGAAGCATCTAGCTGACGTATTCAGCAAAACGAACATATTTCTTCATGTTTTAAATGTGCCAGCTGCATCCCATAGCCACATGATGGATCCAGTATTGGCAGAGATGGTGGCAAGCTTATCAGAACTAAAGAAAGGCAAGCTGGAAATTGGCCTGCTTTCTACAGCAACAGGGAAGGCTATTTCAAATGATGATTTTGTCACTGGCCATTACTGGGCTAGACAGGCTCGTGATCCCGTTTGTTTTGCAGATGCCATATTGGCATCAGCCAAAGGCAAGGATAACATTGCATTTGTAGAAATAGGATTTGAAAGAGAGTTGCAGCGATATATCACTGAAACGTTAGGACCACAAACCAGAGTTTTCCATTCCATGCACATTGGTAGAGAATATGTCGCTCTCCTTAATATGGTAAAAGATTTATTTGAATTGGGATTTCCTGTAGATTGGCAGTATTTTTATGAAGGGTACCAAAGTGTTCCGTCAGCCTACCCAAGGTATCAATTTGAGCGTAAGGAAGTCCTGCCACTTTGGTACATGAACCAGCCAGCAAACAACAGAGAGGCAAGCTCAAATCATCCTTTAATTTGCAGTACCAATAGGGAAAATTCAGAATTCATCTGTACCATCTCAGAGTCACTGGCACCTTATTTGTATGAGCACAAGAGCCATAGAGTTGCTTCAATTCCTGCTGCCTTTTTTGCAGAACTTGCTTTGGCAGCTGTCATTACTAGTTCAAGACCAAAGGTGCCTGTAAGTTTCTGCCAGATGAATATAGTTTTCACTAAACCATGTGTTGCAAATGCAAATTCTCATGTTTTGAAGGTAAGCCTGGAGTCACAAGAAAGACTGACGGAATTCCGGGTACTATCCGGACCAGCTAATACAGTTTATGCATCAGGAAAAGTCACAAAGAATCCAGAAACATCAGTGGAAGAAAAGATCATTTCCTTGAACGATATTTTTCAGAGATGTAGGTCAATTGTTAACAAAGGTGACATTTATGAAGCATTGACACAGTCTGGATTTCATTGTGATGCTCCTTTTAGGCAGCTAAATGATATATGTTATTATGAAGATTTAAAAGAGGCAATAACAACAGTGAAAGTGAAGAGAGAAATAGCAGAAGAAATGCATGAGTATAATATTCATCCATTAGTCCTGGACTGTTTTCTACAAATAGTAGGAATTCTGGCTACAGTTACATCAAAAAACAAAGGAAGTTTTCTTTCCGGTATAAGCAGTCTCACTATTACACGACCTCTGCAAGAAGAAATGATGATATATGTAAAAACAAGCAACTCCACGGACAAAAAGATACAGTTTTGTGGGTGCTTCACAGACAGACATGGGTCTGTCCTAGCAGAACTGAAAGGTGTCGAGATCACTTTTGTTAAGGAGGTTCCCAAGAAAGAAAATGATTTACTGTTTGAAAATAACTGGAAGGAAATCACATCCGACCAAACGATGCAAAATTTACCCAAGGCACCTAGAGTTGTAGTGTTTGCTGACAAATCTGGTATAGCACAACAGCTCAAGAATTACTTGCACAGTGAATCTAGGTTTGTCACATATCAAGAATGGGATAAACTGTTGGTAGCCAAGAAAGGAGACACTAATGCACAGAATAAAATTAACCTGGAGCTGCAGGGATACCAAGATGTCCTGTTTATGTGGGGCATCCAGAAACTCAGTGAATCTTTACCAGAAAAAGTGGTGAAACATTCAGTAAGATGTTGTGAGGCATTTCGCCAGGTCGTTCTTGCATTAAAGGAGAAGAAGTCCTCTGGTTCTGTTACAATTATCACTTACAGAACATCGGAGGGGAAAGTAGACCATATAAATCCAGGCTTGGCTTTGTATGGCATGGCTCGAACATGCATGGTTGAAATTCCTGAAATCACATTTCAGATCATTGATATCAGCTCTACAAGTGCCATAGATATCTCAGCTTTGGCAGATGTTTTAGTAAAGTATAAAGCACAAGATTATCCAGAAGTCTGGATCGATGAAGGAAGGATTTACAGTTCCGAAATTAGGCGCACCCAAATTGAACCCACTGCCTCCAGTACACCTTCCTACCCATTTCAGGACTCAGAACTCTATGTTTTATATACAACAGATCCGTATGATGTGAGTGAGCTCTCGGCTAAAGTTGCCAGTTCACGGACTCAGCTTGGTAACCGCAGCATTGAGGTACAGATCGAAAAAATAAGCATTCACTCAGAAGACTACTTTCCTGTGACTATATCAAGTTGTGCATTTGGAAAAACCTTATACTGGACTTCGCACACAACAGATGAACACAAACTATTAGCACTAGACTTTATGGGCACTGTAACTGCAACAGGTATCGAAGTGAAAAAAGTCAAAGTGGGAGACCATATTGTTTCATGTTATCCAGTTTCTGCAGCTTCAAGAATTCATATCCCAGAAACAATTTGTTTCCTGATTCAGAAATTTCCATGCTTTAGAAACACACCATGCATGTCATTCTTCTATGTTGCAAGAGTAATTTTGCATCAGACACTGCCAACGCCAAAACATGGAGACATATTAGGTATTATTTCTATTGAGCCCGAGTCAGTTTTGTGCAAAGTGCTTGCTTTTTCAGCCCAGGAATTAGGATGGAAAACAATAACTACAAATCATGTGACTGGTCTGTGGCAACGTGTTAATCAGTGTAATGCCCTCATTTTCCTACCACCTCTAACTGGGATGTTTAAAGATGGCCTTTCTTGCCTTTTTCATCTTAGAGATGTCGTACTTGTTTATGGTAACGGACAGCCAGATTGTTTAGAATATGTGCCTGAGACAGATAATGAAAATATCCATATCCACACTGTCAATCTTATCCATATTTTTCAGAAGGCATCTCTGATACGATCTCAGAAGGAAGTCTATAGCTGGCTTAAATCAATGAATATGAAACAATTAAAAAATCTCCCATATACCCTTTTCCAACAAGCAGGTGTGAGGTCAGAGAATGCTGCATCCTATTTCACTTGCAGAAGTGTTCCAGTTGCAGTGCTAAAAAATGAGGAGGAGGAGAGTAAGATCTCGGATATTCCAATGAGTGTAACAGACCGAAGACTGTTTAAGCACAATGCTGTTTATATAGTCACAGGAGGACTTACTGGACTTGGCTTAGAAACAGTAAAATTCATAGCTCAGAATGGAGGAGGTCGAATTATCATACTTTCACGGAGAAATCCAAGTGCTGAGATCCAAAAGGACCTAAAAGATCTCCAGGATCACTGCGAATGGAGCAGAGTAGTTAGCTTACAATGCAATGTTGTTTCCAGTTCTGAAGTTGACAAGGCCATCAAGTCCATTGGTAAAATTTTTCCGAACTGTCCTGTCAAAGGTGTGTTCCACAGCGCAATGGTTTTACATGACGGGCTTCTTGAAGCCCTCACTATGTCTCACTTTGAGGAAATTTTAAATCCAAAGATCGCTGGGGCAATCAATCTTCACCATGCCTTACAAGGGCAGGAGCTTGACCATTTTGTGTGTTATTCGTGTTTCTCAACATTTCTTGGAAATCCAACACAAGCAAACTATGCAGCTGGCAATTCCTTCCTGGATCTTTTCTGCCATTACAGGAGAAATAGTGGCCTTGCAGGGCAGTCCATTAACTGGGGTGCCTTGAATTTTGGAGCTCTGGAAGGTCAACATGCCAATCGAACTAGTATGTTAGAAAGCAGAGGTTTAGAGGAACTGCAAGTGAATGATATTCACGAGTACCTTAGAAAATGCTTAATTCTAAACAATCCTCAGCTAGCTGTGATAAAATTAAACTTCCAAATGTTAGCATTTAATGTTTTATCTCAAACTTCATCACTGAGGAGTCGTTTCTCTAAATTGGTTTCTGAGGAACTGTGTAGTAGTAACTCTGAGCCCACAGGTGAAGGTGTGTCCCAGAATCTGTCTCTCAATGGACCTGTAAGTTATATCACGTCACTTTTGAAAAATGTGAGTGACACAGTTCCTGAGAATCTTTCATTGCATACACCACTTTCCTTACTGGGCATAGATTCTACGCTAGCCTTCACTCTGAAGAATCGCATTTTTGCGGAAACAAGGGTGGAAGTACCTCTCACAAAACTAATTGATCCTCAATCAACTGTAGCAACTTTAATCTTACATTTGAAAGAAAATTCTGATATCACAGATTCTCATGCAGCTGAAGGTATTGATGCTGGAAGCTGGTTGTAGGAATGCCTTTCCAGGTGTTATTCCAAATGAATTTTCACACTGAAATTTCCCACTATTTTGTCTATTTGTTCAAGATGGATCTCAAAGATACCTTGACTACCATGTTATCAATTGTTGATTTGGAAACAGATCTCTGTAGAGGACAGCTCTGGGCATGCCTAATGCTGAAGGCCTGCGGATGGGCTGGTGCATTAGGAGGCTTGTGGCAACATAGATATAACTGCATAGTACATTTCCCAAGTAGAGGAAGCCTATCTTGTATACGGGATGCTTTTCCAGTCCTTTACAAAATACTGTACATTTCGATGTAGTGAAGCTTCTGATTCTGAAAATGATTTTATATGTGTAAATAATAAATATGCAGTATGTCCAATCCTGTACATTGGGGTGGAGCACATGTGGTCCACAGTCCGCATATAGGCCTCAGCAGTCAAATACAGCTTATTCAATACTCCTGGGCCCCCGCAGCAATTTTTTTTGAAAAAAAGTCTTGGCTTATGAAGTCCACTTGTATCCTCTTATTGGGGTAAACAAGTAAATTTTGTCATGCTTTCAGGGCATTCTAGCATTGTCCTTTCACTCCCCTCCCCCACTTTACTTTTTTTAAAAATTGGAGACTAGAGGATGAAATATGACTTTCCCAGTTTTTAAGAGCATTTTTGAGGGGTATGGGTCAGGAGAGCAGCCCTCCAAGCTTCAGACCTCTGTACAGACCTCAGACCTCTGAATACCACCCACATAGGACAATGTTAGGGCAACTTATTCTACCGCAGGGATGGGTGATATCCCAAGATCCAGGGGTTAAAACGTGATCATCCCTGGAGTTGGAAGAGCCATACTTGCTCCCACGATCCTCATCCCTTAATTTTGACCTTACAAAAATTCAGGGGTTTTTAAACAACAAAAGGTAAAGGTAAAGGTAAAGGTTCCCCTTGACAATTTTTGTCCAGTCGTGTTCGACTCTAGGGGGCGGTGCTGATCCCCGTTTCCAAGCCATAGAGCCAGCGTCTGTCCGAAGACAATCTTCCGTGGTCACATGGCCAGTGCGACTTAGACACGGAACGCTGTTACCTTCCCACCGAAGTGGTCCCTATTTATCTACTTGCATTTGCATGCTTTCGAACCACTAGGTTGGCGGGATTTAAACAACAAAACTTGTGACCAAAAATGAACATGCAGTTCAAAGGCCACATGTTGCCTGCCCACAATGTATGGGGTGCAGGGATTTTTTTCCTCCTCAGGTGATGTAACAGAGAGGTCTGGTAGCAGTCCAAGATAAATTAATCTAGCCGCAATGGCATGTTTCTTAATGTGATCAAAAGAGCGGGTCATCAAAAGGAATAACTATATCCAGACAGGGGTCAGCTATTAGATATTGTATGTGAGTACATCCAGCTACAGAGGCGCATACTCCAGAGGTAGTCTCTAAATGTTGTCACGTACCAGGAAGGATATATATAGTCACCCCCAAATTGCTTCTATCAAGGGCAAGATCTTCCTTGACTACGCTGCTTCTCTGTCCTTTGTGAGGAGTATTCTGCACTGTGGTTGACACTGAAAAAAATTGGAGTTTTGCAGAACCCGTCCATCCATCTTGTCCCCATCACACTGGCCTACTCTGAAAAAAGAGCAACTCTGAAACTTGGTCAAAAAGGTCCAGACAGGGGACAGAGCATGGTCAGGTTGGTTTATAATATGCAATATGTTGTCTGTTCACCAGAAAACAGAATGAACCAGATTGTGTTGTCAGCATTCCAAACTGAAGTCTAAATAATCATTTGACCGTACACTTACTGTTATAATACAGCCTTTATTTTGTTGAAATTGGAAGGAAAATGTTTCCTATGGAGTAACAATTCTCCCTGAGTTGCAGAAAACCTCACATTTGATATTGTGTGCCTTGTGCCAGAGGCATAGCAAATATTCCATGCAGAAGTCAACAGAGACCGCTGCAATAAAAATAGTATAAACTGCTAAGAAAATAACATCACACTACTATACTTATGTCTGGACAATCATGTCTCAGCTTGAGAAGCTGGTGAATGGGCTGTGGGATCATAAGCCTTCGCAGTAACTCCCCACCGCATTGGCAGTAGTTTATGTTTCCATACTGGAAAGTGGGCAATGACACAGTGTTTCCATCTAAAAAAATAAGGTTCTTTGTTGCTGGCTGAATGTTCGTAGCAGTGGCCTTTAGCTATCTACTCTGTTTGAAAAACCAGCACAAAAGCCAAAAAACGTTAAAAAGACAGGAATAAAAAGGAGACCATGCAGAGTCCCAAGCAATATCACCAAAAACATGATCTTAAAAAAGGTTCTAAAGATGTATGTGGATGCCATTGATAAAACAAGGACTCCCACAAGGGTGGAAGTAGATGCCTGTAAAACAGGGTAACCAAGGCGGTACAGAGCATCCACAGCCTTTTCATCCACATTGGGTTTCTCACTAGAAACAAAGGCATAAGACATATGAGCAGAGTAATCTACTGAGAACCCAATGCAAATAACAAGGTTGATCATGGATATGGAGTCAAGGGTTACATCCCAATAGGCCATGAAACCAGTCACACCAACAATGACAGATGCAATAGCAAATGTTACCCACAAAGAGCAAAGAGGATTGGGAATAAGCAGCAAAGAAATAACTAACATGGTTCCAGTAGCAATCAGAATGCTTTGAATGGTATTCTGAACTACCACAATAAACTGATCAAAGTATATGAAACCTGGGTGATAAACCATCAAGGGTATCTTGCAGTCTTTTGCAAGGTTTCTCAGTTGACTTAAGAGGTTTTTCTCATCCACTGCACTAGTAACATTAACTGTCTGTATGAAGAACCGTGAAGCTGATATTTCTGTAGCACTAGAATTTAAATCCCACTCAAAATCTGGATTTGCTGTAAACAGGGCAGGTAAATTTCTCATGAAAGTAGTGCGTTCCTTTATATTTATGGACATTTGTTGGGCAACAGTTTCATAAATTCTCAGCCATGAGAGTGATAAATTCTTGTCCCCGTAAGCTGAGGTTTCTAGTGCATGCATGCAGTTCTCAAGGTCTGCGCGGACCGATAAATCCCAATATGATATGCTTTCAGTGACCACAACCATCACTCTTGGACCATATTTGGAAAAATAGTCCTCCTCCCAGTCATAATACTGAACAACGTAAGAATGATCTACAGCTAAATGTCGAACATTTAAACCTTCTTTAACTTGGGTGCATCCATAAATGCTACTACCCACGTACAGGAGATACAGAAGCACCGCAAACACCTTGGTCCTCCTATGTACAATGAATGGACCATAATGATTTCTAAAGAATATGTTCATGGGATGTTCAGTCTCTGCCCCAGTGGACTCATCAAAAGATCCTCCTACACAGCATATATTATACAGATGACCCTGAGACTGTTGGGGTTCATCCTTCACCTTCATGAATGTGAGCCAATGTCTGTTGTCTTCTTCTCTTTTGCCATTTAGTGCCACAACAGCCCCGAGGAATGTCAGGTTAAATAAGTAGCAGAAAACAAAGGCTGTTCCTGTGTATATGCAAAAGGACTGAATTGATGGGAAGGAACTTCCAATTCCAATGTAAAAGGCTACAACATCTGTAAGGGTGGTGATGGTGACTGACACCGCTGCTTCCGCATAGGTGTCCGCCATCCGATCTTGGACACTGTCCTTGACTTTGGTACGTTGCCAACAAGACACTATGATGAACATGTCATCCACCCCAACTCCTGAAAAATGACAAAGGCATAACATGTCATTTTCCACATGCCACAAGATATATGAAATATATAGAAGAGGGACATGCTTACTAATTAGCATTTACCAGTTTTTGTTGGCTGAAACCTTTCTTGTGCAGCTTGTTGTATCTGTAGCATTGTCATTGATGACATCAGCTGCAGCAGTAAATCACAACTGATTAATAGTCAATTTCTGCCGATTAAAGATTTGTTGCATCATATACAAAATCACCAAAGATATGTTTTAATCAATGGCAATTTGATAGTGATGATGTCGTCATTACTACTGCACATACCAGGCTGCACAACAAGATTTCAGTCATTATTTGCTTGTTTTAAGATCTGTGCTACAAAATTTAAACTCACAAAAGCTTTAAATGATGGCAAACAAAGAATAGGGATAAAACACTAGACAAAAAGCAAACTTATTCTTCTCAAGATGTGAACTGGTCCAAGTTCCCTGTGAAACCAAAAATGCCTCTGGATTTGGGTTAATGAAGAGTCCAGAGCATAGACATAATTAGTCACCAATTATTTGACACCCACACAGCAGTGGCTAAAATAGTTTTGGAGGTCTAAAACTGCAACTAAATACTTTTAAAAATAATTCTTCAAACTTTGAAAGAGTTTTAAAAAAAGAGAAGACAATATCCAGTTTTGCTGGAGGCAGATGAATGCAATGTGTAAGTGTGCATACCTCTTCTCTATCAGCAATGAATAATGAAACATGGCAATGTCCAGCAATGATCAGGAAGAGTAAGAAAGAGAAAATATGACAATGTCCAGTTTTGTTGTAGGTAAATGAATGTAGGCTAGTAGATTATAAAGGAGATGATGCCTGGTTCACATGACAGTGAGCAAGATTGAAAATGCGCATATAGAAAAATTTGCATCTCAGCCTACCACTGACTTTTGTAGAATGCAACCGATGGCAAAGAAATAAAAAATGAGGTCTAGTTAAAGAACAATAATTAATCTCTCCCCTTCATGGATTGCTGCCTTGTTGTGGCAAAGGGGCTTGAGTAACTCAGGGAAGCTATGGGCTATGCCATGCAGGGACACCCAAGATGGACAGGTCATAGTGGAGAGTTCTGACTAAACGCAATCCACCTGGAGTAGGAAATGGATAGCCACTCCAGTATCTTCGCCAAGAAAACCCCATGAACAGAAACAAAAGGCTAAAAGATATGATGCTGGAAGATGAGCCCCTCAGGTGGGAAGGCGTCCAACATGCTACTGAGGAAGAGCGGAGGTCAAGCAAAAGTAGCTTCAGAGCTAATGAAGTGGTTGGGCCAAAGCCGAAAGGACGCTCAGTTACAGACGCTCCTGGAAGTGACAGGAAAGTCCAATGCTGCAAAGAAAAATACTGCATAGGAACCTAGAATTTAAGATTGATGGACCTTGGTAAGCTGGATGTGGTCAAGTAGGAGATGGCAAGAATCAACATTGGTATTCTGGATGTCAGTGAACTAAAATGGATGGGAATGGGAGAATTCATTTCAGACAATTACCACATCTACTATTGCGGGCAAGAATCCCATAGAAGAAATGGAGTAGCCTTCAACAAAAGAGTGGGAAAAGCTGTACTGGGATTCAATCTAAAAATGAAATAATGATTTCAATACGAATCCAAGGCAGACCTTTCAACATCACAATAATCCAAGTGTATGCACCAACCACCGATGCTGAAGAGGCTGAAATTGACCAATTCTATGAAGATTTACAACACCTTCTAGAACTGACATCAAAGAAAGATGTTCTTCTCATTATAGGGGACTTGAATGCTAAAGTAGGGAGTCAAGAGATAAAAGGAACAACAGGAAAGTTTGGCCTTGGAGTTCAAAATGAAGCAGGGCAAGAACAAGCTCGTCATCACAAATACTCTTTTCTAACAACACAAGAGGCAACTCTATGCATGGACATCAACAGATGGGCAATACCGCAATCAGACTGATTATGTTCTCTGCAGCCAAAGATGGAGAAGCTCTATACAGTCAGCAAAAACAAGACCTGGAGCTGATTGTGGCTCTGATCATCAGCTTCTTATAACAAAACTCAGGCTTAAACTGAAGAAAGTAGGAAAAAACCACTGAGCTAGTCAGGTATAATCTAAACCAAATCCCTTATGAATACACAATGGAAGTGAAGAACAGATTTAAGGAACTAGATCTGGAGGACAGAGTGCCTGAAGAACTATGGATGGAGGCTAATAACATTGTACAGGAGGCAGCAACAAAAACCATCCCAAAGAAAATGAAATGCAAGAAAGCAGAGTGGCTGTCCAATGAGGCCTTACAAATAGCAGAGAAGAGAAGGGAAACAAAATGCAAGGGATATAGGAAAAGTTACAGAAAACTGAATACAAATTTCCAAAGAATAGTAAGGAGAGACAAGAGGGCCTTCTTAAATGAACAGTGCAAAGAACTAGAGGAAAATAATAGAAAGGGAAAAACCAGAGATCTGTTCAAGAAAAGTGGAGATGTTAAAGGAATCTTTTGGGCAAAGATGGACATGATAAAGGACAAAAATGGTAGGGACTTCACAGAAGCAGAAGACATCAAGAAGAGGTGGCAAGAATACACAGAGGAATTATACCAGAAAGATTTGGATATCCTGGACAACGCAGATAGTGTGGTTGCTGACCTTGAGCCAGACATCCTGGAGAGTGATGTCAAGTGGGCCTTAGAAAGCTTCTCTAACAACAAGGCCAGTGGAGGTGATGGCATTCCAGTGGAACTTTTTAAAATCTTAAAAGATGACACTGTTAAGGTGCTACACTCAATATGCTAGCAAGTTTGGAAAACTCAGCAGTGGCCAGAG